CTCTTTTCAACCAACGGCAGTCACTCTCCTCTCCAAATAACTTCTGCTTAGCTTTCCGAGCTTCCCTCGGGTCCTCTTAATTGTTGTGACACGTGTTCGAAATGCAGAGAGGTGCGCTCGATTTGCCACACAGAGCAGCGCGAGAGTAAAGCACGAGGGAGGGTTCCTAATAGTTGAGTGAATGCTGACCGGCCCAGCAGCCAGACCCTAAACTTTAACAGGTAACAAAGGCAGTGATGAAGCTGCAGCCTCGATTCTACTTGTTCATGTTTCTAAAGTAGAATTGCTGTGGCGATCCCTTTAAAGTCTTTGTGGGCCGGATTTCACCTTTGCTTGGCGCTGGCGGCTTTTTGTTCCTACCTAAATACTAAGATTAAGATCATATATGTACTCTTATTAGGATAGGGATTTGTGGTGGTGTGTGGGGCTGTAGACTGCAGGTTTACAGTGTAATAGTATAACAAATTACTTTCCCCTGGGAGTAATTGAGTAAAGTACTGCATTACTTTTAAAAAAAGTATTCTGTGTAATATGTGTAATACATTACACATTACACTGATCACAACAAAGAGGGAAAATACCTCCAGCATTCAGAAACATTTGACCATACAGCATGCAGTTAGTTTACACAGATGTAATGTCTTTGATATGCTGCTTAGTGATGGCGGTGACTCTCAAAGCCGAGCGAATGAGAGACCAATGAGAATCGATAAGGAACTGAATTAATAGGTGATATTGATAATGCAGTCTGAAACGCTAAATTCTTATCAGTTTCCATCCACAATTATATGTCATATTCTATCATTTGTCCACACCTAAACATGTGCAAAGTAATCTGTCGCAATACTTCCCTGAATCTTACATACTTCATTTTTCATTTGAAAGTTGAAACTTTTCCCCCCTCAGAGCTAGTGGTAGAGGTAATGTTCAATTTACTACCTCACTTCTTGTCACAGCCTCCAAACTTCCTGCCGCTGGCAAGCTTGGAGCTGGTGATTGGCTGACAGACGTGGTCACATGGCAAAGAGATACACCACGTGTGTGTGCACCGTGTGTGGCTTAAGGGGATGAAGGCTTGTTGTATCATTTGAATATAACATTGCAGAATAAAAAGAAGGAAAAACTGACAATATTGGCATTTAAGTTTGACTGCTGCAGTGTAATTTGTCCACAGCACAGCAGTACTTGTCAGGTGTAGAAAAAAATGAGATAAAGTAAAGAAACAGACAGTCTGGAGACAGCTAGATATAAAGACAGAGTTGATTTGATAGAAAGAAGCAAAGAGACTGGCAAAACGATAGTGAGGAAAAAGCAAATGTAAAGTGACAATGGAAGGAAAAAAGGAAAGCAAAACATAGAGAATGGCAAGGAGGGATCCACAGCGTGTTGCTGTCTTCCTGTAGCTTGTCCAGCCCAGTCTATCTGAGGCTATCAGGCCTATCAGCCCATCTCCCCGCAGTGCTGTAGTCAGCACTAATCACATTTTATGGCACTGAGATGAATGGGAGGCCTCGGCTTGGAGCCGGATCGATCCCAGGACCAGATAGACCAGCACCAGCAGCCTGCAGCCTGGGCCAATAGGATATTTGCTGTTGTGGCCAAATGACAGAAAATGTGTGAGACAGTGACAGAGAGAAAGGGACAGGGAAGGGAAATGTGACACTGTAATGACTGGAGATTTATAAATATCATAGATAATAATATGCTGTATATTGTGGTGCATGCATGCAGCAGGCACAGAGGTGACAAAAACAGGTGAACATCTACCCCTATTGCACCTCCCTGCTCGATCTTTCTTTATAGACCCCCTCAAAAGCGTTTTTTCATTAAAAAACGGTTTCTTATCTGTCCAATTTCCTTCTTCAAAAAAGGTCTTGTGTGAATTTAATCTACTCCAGTGGAAGGTGTTGTGGTTAAGTGCTGCCTGTGCATTTTGTCAGAGTGTGCGTATGTATACACAGGCAGTGTGATTAGATTGTGTCTGTGTGCCTGGAATCATCAGAATTCACATAAATCTTTACTTTATATACTAATGATTGCAATATTGTTGTGACATGAAGCAAAAAAAATAAAGCTGAGAAATTTAATAGAGAAAGAATAATAGCATGAGTAAATAAACCAGCTAAGTGCAGCTATAGTATGGGGGAGAGGCTGTGCTATAGAGATATCAGTGGGTTCCAGGGAAGAACTGGGCTGTTGGAGTGTTTCATCCAGCTAAGCCTTGCTAACTCTCAGCCTGAGCCAAGGGAATGGGGAACAGTAAAAGCCCGTGATATTGGAAGTGAGATGGCCATTTTGAAGGAATGTAAGCTGGTGAAACAGATTTGGTCTGCCTCAATCAGCTTAGCAGCTTTGTGGAAATTGGCTTCACCGTAGCACCGGTTATGATGGATGGCCGGATGGATGAATGTCTCTTTTTTTGTATGTCCTTCCTTTTTGTGTGGTTATCGAACCACTCACTTACCTCTGAAAGTTAAGACCAATTCTGGTTATGTTGGTGGCAATGAGTGGGCCATGTGACTGTTTGAAGCGATGTTAATTTTTCAGGAGAGGTGCACAAAAATTGTTTTCTTCTCAAAGCAAAAAGTACAAAGTTTGTGTATTACTGAAACACATGAAACGACCCTTACTTACTATGACCTGTATGAAAGCTTCACGTGATTTAAATTAAGTTTTAATTTCCTGCTTATATTAAAATGAGCACCCACAAAAGAGGCTTTAACCTTACCCTTATTCTAAAATGAAATTTAATTTACTTTAACATAAAATACATTTATATTGATTTCTCAAAGACTCATTTTGCAGCAGGAAAAACCCAGATATTAGACAGAGACCACATGCTGGTGTATGAAATTTAGATGCATTGGAAGTCACAGCTATTTGATGGATTGCTGTGAAATTATTTAGGTTCATATTCCTCTCAGCGGGCATGTACCTGCAGAACTTATGACATCCCCATCAGTCTCATCTGTCTTTTACAAATCTCATCTGCTAACATGCTAAGCAGAGATGATGAACATAGCATGCGTTAGACCTAATAAACAGCAGCATGTGCAAAAGCATGAAAAATATGCATGACTGCGTATTCTTAGTGATGTGACCAACATGTGACTTGATAAGCGATTGAAATGGACTCATTTATTATTCAGTTTTGGTTGTTTTTTTTTTATGCTTCATAATTTCTGTAAAGTGTTTCCCAGTTGTCTGCAGAGCAGGCAGAATTAGAGCAAATTTGTCTCAAATATTTGGAATGACTGCAGGGCTTGTGGCAGACTACACGACAACAAAATACAACATACAAGATCAGAGACTAGTAACTGCTGTCTTTGTTTTCACTAATAATAAGCAAGTAAGGGGAAAAAGGAGAAAATAAATTATACAATACATATGGAATTAAGTAAACTGAGTTAAAATCAAAGTTGTCTGATGTATGGAGTCTTCTTCAAGTAAAAATTGCAAGAAGCCAGTGAGATAGGACCTTTGAAAAAAGTTTCATACTGAGTGAATTTCTACCTGATATGTAACTTCTAGCTACCACGATTTCATTCCAGTTTCTGCCTATGTTACCATCAGAAACCAGTGGGTGAGTTGATATGAAACTCCATTGACTAAGTTGATATGCTTTCCCATTCAGCTGTAGGGGTGTACTTGATGTCAGGTTCCGTGAAGGGCACGGCTGTGAGCTATTATCACAGGAGCCTTAAGGGAGCCATTCATAGAAGACAGGCAGTAAAACCTTGCACCGAGCGCCTTCAACTCCTCCAACTGCTGCAGGGGTGATTTGTAAGCCTCACTTGTCCCGGGAAAGCACAGTGTAGAGCAGTTACTCTCCATAATCAGGAAAGAGGATGAACAGAAGAAGAATAGGCCATGTGTTATATAGACTCCCCAAAGAGCCATCATTACTTTACTTTTTCAGACAATGCTCACCTGTTCAAATTAGTGATGTTATGCAATTTGTCACGGGAGAAGTAAAAAGTTAAATAGGATGTTAAAACTCTCACCACGCCATTAATGACTTTGTTTCGCTAATGCTTATTTACCAGTGCTACGTTTCTGTCCCTGCTGTACTGTATTTTATTAAGCTTACATTATTGAAGCATTTCTTCAGTGGCTCAGAACTCCTTGTTCAAGGCCTCACTTTAAGGACCTCCTCCTGGATACGTTGCTTGTGTTTTCACTTTGACTGGTGTATAAGCTATTTTACTGATCATAGAAGTTGTTGTTCCAGTG